GTCGGCTTTCCTCAAGCATGCAAAGCGTTATCGGTGGATTTTTCTTCAAGTATAGAAAACCGCCAAGTCGGCTTTCCTCAAGCATGGAAAGCGTTATCGGTGGATTTTTCTTCAAGTATAGAAAACCGCCAAGTCGGCTTTCCTCAAGCATGGAAAGCGTTATCGGTGGATTTTTCTTCAAGTATAGAGAACCGCCAAGTCGGCTTTCCTCAAGCTTGGAAAGCGTTATCGGTGGATTTTTCTTCAAGTATAGAAAACCGCCAAATTCCTTTGTCGGCTTTCCTCAAGAATGGAAGGCATTACCGGTGGATTTCTTCAAGCATAGAATGACACCAAATTCATTCGTCGACTTTCCTCAGGCATGGAAAGTATTATCCGGTAGGTTTCTTCAGGCTTAGAAAGCTACCAAGCTCTTCAGTCGGCTTTCCTCAAGCATGGAAAGCGTTTTAACAAATGTCACTCGGTGGATTCCTTCAAGCATAGGAAGCTGCCAAATTCGTTTGTCACCGATACACTAGTGCTAGATACGTACTCTATCCTTTTACTCTTTTATCTGTAGAATTAACATTTTTCTGCAGGTATCGGCGTATACAGAGTGATTTAGGATCGTAGAACGTCTTAAATCATTCTCCGTCCCTATCGGCTACTTTGACTATCGTTTTCGAAACTGACGTTTCTACAAACTCAGTCAAAGTGGGGGCTTCTGTAGACACCTAAAAATGTCTCCCCAAAACCAAACCCGATGATGAACAACCTTTCACCGCCACTATTGGTCGGGTTCGGTATTTAATCCCGAGAGTGCTTAAAAAATCGTATTTGATTAAATTCATATTTTTGAACAGTCCATGAACTAGTCTTGATGTTTGGTAAAAGCATAGTTTTAATTTCAGCCCAAAACTTATTATTTAATTTTAGCCCAAACCTTTTTTATTTTATTATTATTTATTTTTGGCCCAAGCTTTTTATTTATTTTTATTTAATTATTTTCTTATTTTAGCCCAAATGATAATAAGTCAGAAAAAGCCCGAAATTATCAATCGGCACTTAAAATGCCGAATGAAATTAGGGTTAAAAAATGTATTTAGACGGAAAAATGGGCTGGGAATTCCCGCGCCACGGCAGGTACCTACCGTGTCACGGGAATCAGTCCCGTCTGACGGTGGGATTTCCTGTGACACGGGACATTCCGTGTCTTTTCCGCGTAAACCCTCAACGCGTTTTCTTTCCCGTTTTCTGAAAATTTCCCGCGTCACACTAAAAATGTACCGTGTCACGGGAAAGTTTGTCGTCTGACGGTGGGACTTCCCGTGTCACGGTACAGTTTGCCGTGTCACGGGATACTTTTTTAGGGTTTTTATCATTTTAGGGTTCCGTGTGCTCCCTCAGCACATTTTCCCTATAAATACCCCCTCATTTCTGATGTACGGGGCATCAATTAATTCTCTAGTTTTATTTTTTCTCTCTTCTATGCTTTAGCCTAAAACACTAGCCTACCCTTCTCATTTCAAAATTCCTTCTTCAAGTACTCAAAGGAGTCCATACTTTACTCGTGGTTCCATCCTTAAGCCAAGGCGTGAAAGGTAGAACTGTTTGAGGGTTTGGCCCCAAATTAACTCTACTTTATTTAATTTGATTTAATTATTGTTTTATTATTTCCTTGAAGTTACTAACTCGTTTATTATTTTGTAGTTGCAAACAAACAGAATCAAAGTAAGAATTATGTTCCTTTTATTTCTATTATTTTTCTAACGATTTTATATTGTTGGAATTATGGTTAAATTGCTTCCAATGTTAATGTTTATTTTATTATTTTTATGATCACTATATTGCATGTTTAAAGGGAATATGTAATTGGAAATCACGACTAATAAGATAATTTGGATAACCGGTTTAGGTTCCTTTTTAATCTTGTTGTTTAATCAAGTGATCACAATATTTTAGAGTAATGTGTTGCATTAATATTCAACCAATTTAGCATAATAATAGTTTGGAGCAAATCGAATATTTTGTTTGTATGCCTTTGAGATCGCAGGAATCACTTTTCACTATAAGAATCGAGTAGAGGCCAATACGGGCGAATGTGACTCCATGACTCACTTCGTACCATCATCCCCGATCCTCCTTTCGTGGTTCCGAACCATATGGAGTTAGTAATCTCATGGATTATGAATGGGGTGTAACCTTCACGGGTCAATCGTTGTTGCCTATCGTTGTCCCTTATCGTGGTTGCCTTTTTATGATCCGTGAACGGTTTACAAGTTCCTTAAAAACTTGTTGGCGGCTCCCTACTTTATTTGTCCCTAATCGTATATGTCAATTCCCACTTCCTATGAGTGCCAAGCATATTCACAGCATGCTTTAACGTAGGCGCACTTCGAGCGACGCCTACAGACCTCTGAAATGTCAGTTACGAATAAATCCTTTTTTGTATTAAAATAAGTCCTAATTCGTAACGGGCACCTAAAACGCCCGTTACGAATAAGTGATTATTCGTAACTGAAATCTTAAATGTCCGTTACGAATAGAGTTTTATTGTATATAATTTAACACTTATTTGTAACGGGCAACAAAAATGCCCGTTACGAATAACTGGTTATTTGTAACTGACAATTCTGCTGCCCGTTACAAATAATTATTAAATTAAATTTTCATTTTATTTAATTTCGACAACATGTATTTATATATAATTAATATATATTAATTAAAACCTGTTATAATATACCTGTTCCTTTAAATAAGCAATTATACCGAACAATCTTTCGTAAAAATTAATACGACGTAATATAAAAACTGATGTAGTAACACATTACAAATAAAAACTTGTATAAATTTATCCAACATATACAACAACACTAAAAATATTACATTGTTCTACCTAAGCTAATAGTTATGCATTCAATAAATATTTACTTCTAAAGTATTGCGCCCATTGTTCTCGAACCACATTCAACTTGTCAACATCATACGGGGCGGTCCTTGGACAAAAATCCTATTGAAAAAAAAACATATGAAAGAGGTTACAAAATAAAAACAATCCATAATAAAAACAATCATTAGAATAAATGTGATGAACCAAATTATAGAAATAAAACTCATAATATAGAAACAGAACAAATAACATCCTTAATTGACTTATGTTTTGATTTCTATGAGTTGAAATCAATAAAAAGTTAACATTTACTCACTTTTGGGAGCGTATAGAGCCAAAAAGGCTTCAAAATTGTGCTAAAGGACTTCTATCTTTCCCATCTTTCAAGTATTGGTTCAAATTAACACAATGTAATACATAACATCCTTAATTACCTTATTTTTTGGTTTCTATGAATTGAAATCAATGAAAATTGACCACTATCTCACTCTTGGGAGCGTATAGAGCCAAAAACGCTTCAAAATTGCCTAAGGGACTTCTACCTTTCCCATCTTTCAAGTATTTGTTCAAAGTAACACAATATAATACTAAACATCCTTAATTACCTTATATTTTGATTTCTATGAATTGAAATCAATGAAAAGTGACCATTTACTCACTTCTAGGAACGTATAGAGCCAAAAAGGCTTCAAAATTGCCTAAGGGACTTCTACCTTTCCCATCTTTCATGTATTGGTTCAATTTAACACAATATAATACTAAACATCCAAAATTACCTTATATTTTGGTTTTTATGAATTGAAATCATTGAAAATTGACCATTATCTCACTCTTGGGAGCGTATAGAGCCAAAAACGCTTCAAAATTGTCTAAAGGACTTCTACCTTTCCTATCTTTCAAGTATTTGTTCAAATTAACACAATAAAACACATAATATCCTTAATTACCTTATATTTTGGTTTTTATGAATTGAAATCAATGAAAATTGACCACTATCTCACTCTTGGGAGCGTATAGAGCCAAAAACACTTCAAAATTGTCTAAGGGACTTCTACCTTTCCCATCTTTCAAGTATTTGTTCAAATTAACACAATATAACACATAAAATCCTTAATTACCTTATATTTTGGTTTCTATGAATTGAAATCAATGAAAATTGACCATTATCTCACTCTTGGGAGCGTATAGAGCCAAAAACGCTTCAAAATTGCCTAAGGGACTTCTACCTTTCCCATCTTTCAAGTATTTGTTCAAATTAACACAATAAAACACATAAAATCCTTAATTAACTTATATTTTTGTTTTTATGAATTGAAATCAATGAAAATTGACCATTATCTCACTCTTGGGAGCGTATAAAGCCAAAAACGCTTCAAAATTGCCTAAGGGACTTCTACCTTTCCCATCTTTCAAGTATTTGTTCAAATTAAGTATTAACACAATAAAACACATAAAATCCTTAATTACCTTATATTTTGGTTTTTATGAATTGAAATCAATGAAAATTGACCACTATCTCACTCTTGGGAGCGTATAGAGCCAAAAACGCTTCAAAATTGTCTAAGGGACTTCTACCTTTCCCATCTTTCAAGTATTTGTTCAAATTAACACAATATAACACATAACATCCTTAATTACCTTATATTTTGGTTTCTATGAATTGAAATCAATGAAAATTGACCATTTACTCACTTTTAGGAGCGTATAGAGCCAAAAAGGCTTCAAAATTGCCTAAGGGACTTCTACCTTTCCCATCTTTCATGTATTGGTGAATTAACACAATATAACACTAAACATCCTTAATTACCTTATATTTTTGTTTCTATGAATTGAAATCAATGAAAATTGACCATTATCTCACTCTTGAGAGCGTATAGATCCAAAAACGCTTCAAAATTTCCTAAGGGACTTCTACCTTTCCCATCTTTCAAGTATTTGTTCAAATTAACACAATATAACACTAAACATCCTTAATTACCTTATATTTTGGTTTCTATGAATTGAAATCAATGAAAATTGACCATTATCTCACTCTTGAGAGCGTATAGAGCCAAAAACGCTTCAAAATTTCCTAAGGGACTTCTACCTTTCCCATCTTTCAAGTATTTGTTCAAATTAACACAATATAACACTAAACATCCTTAATTACCTTATATTTTGGTTTTTATGAATTGAAATCAATAACAATTGACCATTATCTTACTCTTGGGAGCGTATAGAGCTAAAAAGGCTTCAAAATTTGCAAAAAAAACTACTAACCTCTTTTAAGACACCTTTGCACTCCAAGTGAGAAGTAACAATCTCATACATGTATCTCATAATGTAGTAGCCACATTCAACGCCTCCTTGTTGTTGAGCACACTAGTATATATAACAAATAGTTAAAAATTTTGTTTTCAAAGTGAACAATGTATAACAATATGGGGAAAGTAGTGTATTTACCTCCATTTGTATGAATTTCAATTTTTGCCTTTGTGATTTCAATTCACTCCCTGTGAGATTCGCCCAATATACTTTATAAGCTCTACAAAAATAATGTATATTCTAACACTTAGAACAAAATAATCTACAACACCACATACAAAAAGGATATAGAAACTAGGGCATAATTTCAAGGTTGTGGCTCACGTCATCATAATCTCGGCAATTTTCAATTTTCGTGGATTTTCCTTAGGTAGCTTCATAGAGTCAAACTCATAAGGTAAACCTAATTGTAGATCGACCACCACAAGAACCCAATGACCACTACATCATTTAAGAGGAAAACACAAGTTAGAGTATTGGAAAATTGGTGAAAAACATATCATTTATATGATTAAGTTTAGTGGCAATATAAAAAACATATTTCGAACCTTGCGACATATGGAGCCACGATGAATTTGCAACGTTTACCCGTCTTTCTTACTTCATGCAAAAATGTATTCTTCACATATGTATAAGTTTCAAGGTAATCATTCTCAATTGAAGATTCAGAAATGAGTTGAGGACAAAAGAATGTGATCTCAGTCCTGTTGAAAAGGTCGATGAAGTTGTCTACTAAAAACCTACATGATAAAGACATAGAAAACAAAAAATTCAGCATTATAGCATTAAAAATATTACTATAGTGAATATAAGAACCAAAGTAAAGGAATATTAAGTAACCTACATGATATAAACATGAATCAATGAAACATTAGCCCACGATCCTCTTAGAAATTCACGTACATCGGTAGCGGTTACCCAAATCAGTTTGTCGCTATCAAAATTAAACATTGAGGCCTTTAAAAGTACCAATGTTGTATCATACTTTGCATCATCAGAATTCATTAACCAATACAACAACTCACACCCCTCGCCAAAAGTATCGACAATTTTATCTTCAAGTGGTAGGAATTTTGTGGGTTTGATGGTAGATTGCCTTGATTTCACACCACAACTATCGTCCCCTTCTTTGCTTTGGCGAGATCTATGCTTCTTTTTGGGCGATGGTGAAACCTTTACAAATAGGTGAATATTAGTCTAGATAAAGTATACAAAAATTATGGGATTTAATGCTAATAGTAGGAGAATATACCTCTTCTTCAAAAAAAAACCATATCTATAGGCCATAGTACAAAGGAAGACTTGGCTTTTCCCAACTTAGTCACACCATCGGGAGACGGTACCGGTATATCGAGGAGGGCACAGTCGGGATAAGGGTTGTCCACACTAACCCTGTAATGATCAAGTAACATCTTCAGGTTGTGAGTAACTTCACCGGTAACAGGATATACCGTTCCATCTGCCACAACCACTAAATTTTGATTGTACTCATCTTTCAATGCTAGGGGACATATAGTGGCTACCTACATATTAAAAAAAAACTCAATCAATATTATACATGTTAACCATGTAAAGTCATATCTTTAGTATTAGTTAAAGACATATACCTCTATGACACGAGGGCTTTGTGTTGCCTCCATGTTCGTCATCACTTGCATTCCTTGAAATGCTTCCACGTCACCGGTCATCTGTGGTAGTAAATTGGCGAGAACCATTATACATCCAACGACGGTCAATTTCTAAAAATGTATGATTAAAACCCAAGAAACAAATTATATTCAACATCACATATCAACACATTCCAAATGCATGATCCCAAAGGTCCTTATCGCTCCAACCTAACCCATCCTTGGAAGTGTATTCTCACTAGCAAATGGTTGACCATTTTTCGGCCCTAAGGAAATTTCGGCAGCATTTCCCTATGGTTCTCAAAGTACACGATGTAATTAATTTCTATATTACATATGTACCCCGAGAACACAATAGGGAATGCTAACACAAAATTACCTTTACTTCCGAAAAACAAGCAACCATTTACATCCTAAGTGAGAATACAATTCCAAGAACAGTCCCAAACAGGGACTATTCAAGATTTACTCCTAATGAGTAAATGTGTTGAACGGGTATCTAGGCATATGAAGATATAATGCATAATAAATATTAACACATTCAAGATCAATCATGTCAAATAAAAGTAACCAAACACATAAACATGAGTTATTTACGTAACAAAGAAAATTTGATATTTGATGCAAATAAATTATGCACATACAATAAAATAGACCAACCATGAAACTATACACTAAAAGTATCTATATAAAGTAAAACATACTTCAAAATTTCCAAATGCGAGAAAAATATTCACCTCTACCTCTAATTCTTAGGAATTCGTCACATAAATAACATTTCATATCCTCTTACATAGTAACACTAATTCTTCATTTAACACACCCAATTAACACACTCATCTTCATCAGCACTTGGATTCAAAATTTCTGCGCTAATCACATTATCTAATACACAATCAATCTTAGTTTAATTTCAATTCTCTTAGCTAAACAAATCATCGTTAAAAGTTTAAGACAAAACAATTTCATTCAACAAAATACACTACACCACATCAAAAATGCCGAAAATTAAGACTAAAAACAGACCTTGCCTTGCTGATAAAGGCGCCGGAGCTTGTCCTGACTTCACTAAACTGGCTATCCAAGACTCATTACTGCCACACGGTTCCTGCAAACAATACTCTGGTTATTTCAGTGTTTTCAGCATCACTCTCCCCAATTATAGTAAAAACAATGAATTGAAAACTAAAACTTCATGTTCAAAAAGAACAGAAATAATTAAAAAAATTAATTAAAAAATTCAACTGAAAAAAATCAAAAACTGATTGAACTAGAAAAAAAAATTCAACTGTTCTTCACCTCACTACCAAAAAAATTATATGAAAACCTTAACAGATTTAATTTTTCTAAAAATTAAGGCTAGGAAAAAAAATAAAACTTATTACTTTGAGTAAAGTAAACTTATTACCTTGAGTTCTTCACATGCCGGAAAAAACCGCAAGAAACCACCACCCACCGAAGTTGCGAGGGGGAAACGAGGAACTTGCGAGGGATAAAGGGTTCAGGATAACCCCTACTGCAATGAAAGAATAGAACTTGATTAGTTGAATTCGAAAGAGCAATGAAAGATTAGAACTTTAGAGAAAAATTGTGGGAGATTTTGTTAGTAGGATTATCCAACATATTTAAATTTGAGAAAAACTGTGAATTGATATTGCTAAAATGATTTGAAGGCCATAAATAGTAAGCTACAAGATTCTAGCTACTAATGCTTTCAAATTTATGAATTGATTATACTACTTTAAAGAACATTAAAAAAAATCTAACTATACAAACATTCCTCAAACCAACCAGAAAATTTAGCCTCAACCAAAGAATGAATCTGAACATACAATTCTAACCAAAAATTTAGTGGTTATTAGAATGTTGCGTGATCAGATGAAAGGCTTCAGTGCTGTCCATTTAGTCATTGATGATATTTTGCTTTTTAGTAGTAAGTTTGATTATCTTAGCTGGGAATTTGTGAAAAGGGGGGGTAATGGAGTTGCTCACACTTTAGCACATTATTGGCAGGTTGGACTTCGTGTTTGGGATGATGTTATCCCTTTTTGTATTGTATTGTAAGATATCAATGACCATATATTTGGTACAATAATATCAAGTATTTAAACAAGTCCGAATCAACGTCTCAGGAATAATAAGAAGGTTGCCTATTAATTTAGTTTGATGGTTCCAGGGCACCACAATGAATCCAGGAAAAACAAAGTAAAAAATAGTTCCCATATTTCTTATTATGGCATAGACAGCAGTCAAAATCCATTTAGAATTAGACCATGGACTTTTGAACACATAAGATGGAAAACTTGATGCGGAAGATGTTAAATACTTATAGGTTAAGTATGCGACTTTTTTTTAGGAGATGTTGAGCTAACATGATTCACAGGACATGATAATCAGACAATCTGAGAACAATAGTAGCCACATTGGCCCTCATTCGCAAATATGAGCTCAAAATCACAAATTCAGAAGTACAAAAGGTTTTAAAGCCAAGAAAAGTTGTCGCACAAATTAGCTTAACTCAGATACATTAAATAGAGTAGCCAAGAAATATACTTGAACAAGTAAAAATTTGTAGATACTTCTACTCAAAAATAGTTTTCCAGAAGCACACAAAACAAGCTACACAGTACTAACTACCTAAGAGGTACACAAAGGCTTAGAAACAAATAGTAAAAAGCTTAACACAATTGAAGCTAGAATATTAGTTAGCTCAAACAAACATCATAGAAGCTCCCCACATGAAACCAAACATCAAAAAAAAAAAAAGAAAAAAAAATCATAGCATTGTATCTATAATCCCAACAATACGGTTTCAGTTCTAAACAATTAAAGCTAAAATTAAAATCCAAGAACATGCAAATGAAATTGATAGAAATTCAGAAAATCACGTGACATTTCAAGCCAATTGTCTTCAATTTAGGGCATCCAACATCAGCATTCAATTTTCACCGCCCTAACCAAATCTTCTCCAATTTCCACCACCCAACAAACCACCACCCACTGGAGTTCCTCTGGTAACCCAGGCAGCCTACAATTTCCGGCACACACAGGCCCAACAATCCCAAGACCGACGACGGACAAACCAGAAAGAGAGGACCAGGCTGAGATTGCGCTTCAATGGGGAACAGGGAGAAAGAGATGAAAAGGCGAGAGAAGGGACGGCGACTGGCGACGGAGAAGGCACCGGAGAAGAGATTGCGCTTCAACGGGGAACAGATCTAAGCTTCAATGAAGAAAAGTGAATGAGGGACGACGCGCGAAATGAATTGAAAAGGGGGAATTGGAAATAATTTAGGGTTAAATTCGAATCCGTGCAAAAAAAAATTCCAACTTTTACTCGTAACGGATATTTTATGTCCGTTACAAATAAGTAGGTCAATCACGTTTTGACTTTACTATTTGTAACGGACAGAAAATGTCCGTAACGAATAATTTAGTATTTGTAACGGGCAGTAAGGTGTCCGTTACAAATAAATATTTATTCGTAATGGACAGAAAGATGCCCGTTACGAATAAGTATTTAGTTGTAACGGACACCTTACCGCCCGTTACAAATACTACTTTTTCACGCTGATGGATAATTATTTGTAACGGACCTTAATTTTGCCCGTTACGAATGATGTAATTGTAAAGGGCAACAACATGCCCGTTACGATTAAGCCGTTACAAATAGACTTTTTTCCACTAGTGTCTCAACTACTATTACTACTACTACTCACATGTTATGTACTACTACTACTACTTCCTATTATTATTATTATTATTATTATTATTATTATTATTATATTTGTTGTTGTTAGTATTGTAGTTGTTGTTGTTGATATGTTTGCTACTACTTACAATTTAGTTATCTACTACTACTACTACTATTATTATTATTATTAGCTAGCAACAACTAAGTACTTACACATATAAGTCATATACTACTACTATGTATATATGATACTACTACTTCTACTTTTATAATTATTATAATTATTGTTATTATAATTATTATTATCGTTATTATTATTTATTTTATAAAAACAAGTGTTAATTTTATAAAAGGGTTATGATGATAAATTGTTCATGCACAACTAGTCAAAGTTGATAGTCTAAGCCCTTGTGTCTATGGGTTGAAAAATATTTGATTAGGATTATTGGTTTGTTATAGGAGGAATTTCGGGCTCAAAATTAGGAGTTCTGTACTTGTGTGCAAGGATCAAGGTACGTACACGTGGCTATATCTTTTAAAAAGTGACTTTTATATGCAACGTGATTTACATGTTAAGTGATTTCGAACCATGTTTAAAAGATTGTGAAATATATTTCGGTGAAACATGTTTTAAGAGTTTGATCTCAAATGTTTAAATATTTCATATGATTGATTATAAACTTGTACTGATATTCAAGATGTTTTAAAAAGTAAGTTTTATTGTTTAAATTATCCCGAGTATGGGATATTGGAAAATTTATTTAACAGGATTTACTCCTTGGATCTTTGGATTTTTAACTCCCACTATGCGGAGTAAGTTGAAGACTATGGACTTTGTATGACCTAGTCTTTCCCCTTGATAGCACTATGTAAAGGAGTTACTAGCTTAGGGGGTGTGCACAGTTAGATGGGAAAATGATTTATGAAAATATGGACTGATCCATCCTATTCGGAATTATCTTTGGAAAGTTGGTTATTTCGGAAATTGGTTCTTTTGACAGGTTTTTATACATGACTTCTTATTCAGGAATGGTTTGGATAAATTATGATTTATTAAAGTTAATTCTCTTTGAAAGCATATTTAATTAATTAAATTGATTTTACATGCCTAGCACTTGTATGTACTTGGCATTTTGGCTAATACGTATTTGTTTTGTTTTAGCTTGGCCCTACTTATCATTTTGATAAGTAGATAGGTAATGGCGATCGGACAACGTGAACTATATGTTGCATTTGGAATGATGGGAGGTAATCACCTAGTTTAATTTAGTAAACATAGTATTAGTGGTGTAGCTACTTTGAAAGTGTATCAAACTATTATTATTACTATTATTATTAATAAAAGATAAGTACTGTTTTCCGCTGCAAAACTCTGTTAAGCCTTACGTAATCACGTGGCGGTAATACTCCCATGTTACTCCTTAAAGTTGAATTATTATTGTTAATATTAGAGAGTAATTTGGGGGTGTTACAAAGTGGTATCGGAGCTTAAAAAGCTACTTTCCATTTTAATATGAAGAAATATTGGAATATAAAACTGGATGGGTAGACTTAAGAGGGGCATATAGGATAGAGTTTCGCATTTGTTTTCTGAAAGTATATATATTAAGTATATATTTAAGTAAAAACCACTTTCCATTTTAATATGAAGAAATATTAATAGTGGGGATTATTGGATTGGCAATGAGCTCTGGCTAGGCAGGACTTGGGCTCGGGGCAACGTCGTCCCTAACCTCTCCTACCTGGGATCTCATTGGTCCAATTAATCCACATTATGAATCAAGTACTCAACTTACAACTACACATAATATTTTCGAAATTAAAGAATTTGAAACATATTCAAAAAGTGATTTCGAACTTTACGTGAATTATGTGCATATGGACTAAGAAAACGTCCAAACTATGTTTCAGAATACAAAGGTTCGAATTAAATTTCGAATTGCATTAAGATTAATAGTGTTTTGGGAATTTTTTCTTATATTCCAAGGTATATTAGTGAAGGTTCATGAAGTATTATTCAAGTATTATTCATAAATTGGAAAAGGATTGGAAGGTGAATTGCACCTTTATGTGACGAATTAAATGGAGAAATGTTTGTTATAATTGTATGCAAATTATGATAAATCTTGTGGTGATTTTTTGAGATGTTACATAGAGTTGCTTCTAAAGTGACAATTTAGACTTGATAGTTAATTTGATGAAACATTTAGTACTCAAGATATTTTATGAACAGTAAAGTTATCACATCTATGAGTTTTTGTTGGATGGATGAGTAATTTGTTTGTAAATTCATGTGTCTAATTACCACATTATTCAGGATCATGTCTCGAAGGCAACGAATTAAGAAAGGGAGTAGTTCCAAGGTCAGCTCTGTCATTAAAAGGCTAACCGAAATAACCGAAAACATAGCTGGTATTGTCTCAACCAGGGAAAAGCCCATAATGACCTTGATTCTTTTGGGGAAGTTTTTAAAAGAATAGCTGTGGCCAAACCACCCACTTACCTTGGCAAAGTAGACCCAGCGAGCTTAGAAAATTGGGTGAGAGAATTTGATAAACTTTTTGAGGCTATTAATTGCCCTGAGGAATTAAAAGTCAATAATGTTGTTTATTACCTTAGAGAGGAAGCCTATTTGTGGTGGAGTCAAAAGAGAGATGACTTGTTGAGTAATCCTAACTTTGGGTGGGCTCAATTAAAGGAAGCTTTGAGAGAGAAGTTTTACCCTTCCTATTTGAGGAAGCAGAAGTGCATGGAGTTTACTAACCTTAGAATGGGGAACATGACGATTAATGAGTATTATAGCAAGTTCATTGAGTTAATGAGATTTGCACCTGAGGTAGTGCCAACTGAGGCGCTTAAGGTCCAGAGGTTTGAGCAAGGTTTGACTTTAACCCTTCAAGGGAAATTGGGAGGAGTGACTTTTGAGACCTTAGATGAGGTTTTCGGGAGGGCAGCGCACCTTTATGGGATCAAAGGGAGAGAGCTAGAGGGAAACTATTCTAGGGAAAAGAGGAAACCTAGTGGAGATTTCAATGGGGGTGAGAAGAAACCCAAGGTTGAGGGGAACCCGAGTGGGAATTTTAATGGGAAAAGGGACAACAGGGGTAACTTTGAAAGAGGGAATGGGAACCGAGGGAATGGAGACAAACCCAAGAGAACCTATTTTTGCAAGAGATGTGCGAAAAACCACCCCAGAAAGGATTGTGAGGGAAACCTAGTGACCTGCCGCTACTGCCAAAAGCTAGGCCACCGTGAGTATGAGTGTTACAAGAAGGTTTCAGATGAGCAATCGGGTAAACCCCAAGATGAGAAGAACCAACCCAAGCCATTTCAACCCAGCGGATTCAATCTTAACCCTGGACCCAACAACAACCGTGGAGCCACTCCCAAGGCTCGTGTGTTCGTGATGAACAGTCGTGAGGCTGCAACTGCCTCCAATGTGGTAATTGACAATTTCTTTATTTGTTCTATGTCTACTAAAGTCTTGTTTGATTCAGGGGCGTCTCACGTACTCTTTTATTTCTAGAACTTTAGTAGATAGACTCAAGTTAGAGAGTCCGGTGTCTGTTTCCTTAGATATTGCTATCCCATCAGGTGAAGTAGTGAGTTGCACTAAAATGCATCAGAGTGTACCTCTTGTTATTTCAAATGTAGAGTTTCCGTCAGACTTAATCGAGCTTGACTTACAAGATCTCGATGTTATTTTGGGGATGGAATGGTTGGGCAAGTACAAGGCCTAAATTGATTGCGAGGCCCAAAAGGTCACATTGTGTGGCCCATGCAAGGTTAGAGTAACTTATCGAAGGGAGGGGAGGAAATCAGGGTTAAAAATCATATCTGCTTTGCAACTTAAGAAGTGTGTAGCAAAGGGGATCCACTGTCTTTATGTAACATCCAAAGGATAGAAGAAGGGGTTAGAGAGGATGGGAAAAATATTCCAGTAGTAAATGAATTTCTTGACGTTTTTCCCGAAGAAATTCCAGGGATGCCACCTGTGAGGGATGTTGAGTTTACTATAGACTTAGTGCCCGGGACAAGACCTATTTCAAAGGCTCCATATAGGATGGCCCCGGCTGAGATGAAAGAGTTGAAGACTCAGTTAGATGACTTGCTGGAGAAAGGATACATTCGACCGAGTTCATCACCATAGAGTGCACCGGTGTTGTTCGTAAAGAAGAAGGATGGAAGCTTGAGGCTATGTATGGATTATCGAGAGTTGACCAACATCACAATCAAGAATAAGTACCCTTTACCTAGGATCGATGATTTGTTCGACCAGTTAAAAAGGGCGGGAATATTCTCGAAGATCGATTTGAGGTTGGGGTATCATCAGTTGAGGATAGCAGAATCGGACATTGTAAAAAGTGCTTTTAGGACTTGTTATGGTCATTATGAATTCACTGTAATGCCATTTGGTTTAACCAATGCACCTGCTGTTTTTATGGATTTAATGCACCGAATTTTTAGGCCATACTTGGACAAGTTTGTAGTGGTGTTTATCGATGATATTTTGGTGTACTCGGAGGATCGAGATGAGCATGAGGACCATTTGAGGGCGGTATTGACAACCTTAAGGGAGCATCAATTATATGCCACACTCTCAAAATGCGAATTTTGGTTGGAAGAGGTAGCTTTCCTAGGTCATGTGATTTCTAAGGAAAGAGTATCAGTGGATCCAGCAAAGGTAAAGGCTGTAAATGGATGGCCGACCCCGAGGAGTGTGTCAGATTTTTGGAGTTTTCTTGGGTTAGTAGGTTACTATAGGAGATTTGTTAAGGATTTCTCGAGAATTGCAAGGCCTATGACGAGCTTAATGAGGAAAGAATTTAAGTATGAGTGGACTCCGGAGTGCGAGAAGGCTTTTCAGACATTAAAAGAGAAGCTAACTACGGCACCTGTGTTAGCCCTGCCTGATGGAAGTGAGCAATATGAGGTGTATAGTGATGCGTCAAAGATCGGGTTAGGTTGCGTGTTGATGCAAAATCGAAAGGTGATTGCTTATGCCTAAAGATAATTGAAGCCTTATGAGGTGAATTAATCGACCCATGACTTGGAGTTAGCCGCAATTGTATTTGCATTGAAGATTTGGAGACACTACTTGTACAGAGTGACATGTAGGATTTTCACCGATCACAAGAGTTTGAAATACATATTCACTCAAAAGGAGTTGAACATGAGACAACGACGATGGTTGGAGTTGATTAAGGATTACGATTTGGAGATTCAGTATCACGAAGGAAAGGCAAATGTTGTAGCTGACGCATTAAGTAGGAAGTCAAGTCATGCAGTTAATGCGATGATCCTACCAGACTAATTATGTGTGCAGTTCCAAAAGATGAATTTGGAGGTATTGGAACAAGGAGAGGTAAAGAAAATTTTGAGTGCCTTGTTGAGCAAACCGTCAATTTACGGCGAGATTCGAGAAAGTCAACATGCGGACGAGAAGTTGATCAAGATTAAAGAAAATATCGAGGAAGGGCAAATATTAGACTTTGCAATAGCCGATGATGGAAGCATGAGGTTTAAAGGGAGATGGTGTGTTCCACATAATCGAGGTGATTTGAAGTAAAGGTTGATGGAGGAAGCTCACAATTCTCCTTATTCAATACATCCCGGAGGGGATAAGTTGTATAAGGACATGAAAAAGACATTCTGGTGGCCGAATATGAAAAGGGAAGTGGCAGAATTTGTGGCTAGATGTTTGACTTGTCAAAAGGTCAAAATCGAGCACAAGAGACCCCAAGGAAAAGTTCAAGCCTTGGAGGTGCCTAATTGGAAGTGGAATTCGATCTCTATGGATTTCGTAGGAGCTTTGCCAAAGACTCGAGCAGGAAATGATACAATTTGGGTCATAGTGGATCAACTAACGAAGTGTGCAACGTTCATACCCATGAGGAGTACATGGTCGATGGATCAATTGGGAAAAGCGTATGTGAAATTTGTGGTAAAAATACCATGGTGTGCCGAAGGACATCATCTCGGATAGAGACTCAAGGTTCTTATCCAACTTCTGGCAGAGTTTACAAAAGGCTATGGGGACTAAGTTGTTGATGAGCACTGCATTCCACCCCACAACCGATGGTCAAACAGAGAGAACAATACAGACATTAGAGGACATGTTGAGATCATGTGTCATGGAGTACCAGGTTCATGGGAAGATCATTTGGACTTGATAGAATTTTCCTACAACAACAGTTATCATGCAAGCATTGGGATGGCGCCATTCGAAGCTTTGTATGGGCGAAAGTGTAGAAGCCCGATATGTTGAAACGACATAAGCGAGACTGTTACACTTGGGCTAGAGATGATCGAAGAGATGGTGAAACAAGTAAAGATGATTCAAGAGAAAATTAAAGCCGCACAAGATCGTCAAAAGAGTTATGCAAATTTGAAGAGGAGGGATGAGGAATACGAAGTAGGTGAGAAAGTTTTATTGAAAATATCTCCAATGAAGGGAGTGATGAGGTTCGGGAAAAGAGGAAAGTTAAGCCCGAAGTACATTGGACCGTATGAGACCATCCAAAAGGTGGGAAAAGTGGCATACAAGTTGGACTTGCCTAAAGAGCTAGAAAGAGTTCACAATGTGTTCCATGTGAGCCAAATTCGGAAATACATACCAAATGCTTCTCATGTCTTACATCCTGAGACCATCGAGATGGACGAAAACTTGACTTATGAGGAAAGACCTGTGAAGATTTTGGATAGTAAAGTGAGAAGCACTAGAAACAAGGATGTTAAGATATTTAAAGTTTTATGGTCAAACCATAAAACCGAGGAAGCTACTTGGGAAGCCGAAGCAGATATGAGAAAAAGATACCCAGAGTTGTTTTCTGAGGTCATTAGTCGAGTTACGGGGGCGTAACTCCTTTTAAGGGGGGTAGAATGCGATAGAGTTTTGCGCTTTTGCCCTTTTTGGTTAGTTTTTGAGACATTTTTAGTAGGTATGCATTGTGCCAGAGTCATAGTTTGAGTTGTTCTGAGTCATTATAAGTTGTGCATGAGTCAATTTGTACTAACTTGAAATATTTAACCAACTTTTTACTCAAGTTTCGAGGTCAAAACTTCTTTTAAGGGGGGTAGACTGTAATGCCCCGTATTTTTAAGCCGTTTACTAATTATTAATTATGGATTTTTCCGAAATATTTTATTATACAAAAAATATCTATTTAAGTCCATATATGATTTTACAAAGATATAATTTTATTACGCTTTATAATTATATGAGTCAACTCAAAGTTGTCGGAATTTCAACCTCCAGTATTTTGCTTCCGAGTCAAACTAACAAGTACCAAATTATTCCTCCTTCCGTAATCAAGATCAATGCTTATATTAATACTACTCATATTCACAACATTAATTAGGCCAGCTGCATTTATTGGGTCAGCAGCATTTATTAGGCCAACAACATATATTAGGTTGGCTGCATTAATTGGATTGGCAGCATTTATGAAATCGGTTGGGATAGTGCCTGAGTTGGGGCTATAGATAGTCATGGAACATGAGCTATTTTCATCACATCTCCTACTTCTCTTCTTACTTTCCTTCTCCTTTCTCCTTCCTCCCCCATACTCACCTCCTTTTAGCTTTCATTTGTGGTCTTGAGCTCCTCACGAGCACCTCCTCGCTGCCACCATACCGCCACCATTCGACCACCACCTTGTTTCCATCCCCTTCCTTGCGTTGCTCACCGTAAGTAAGCCATATATTTCTCATTTTTGTACTACTACTAAGTACTACTAATATTACTACTACTACTCTCAACTACTACTACTACTACTACTACTACTACTACTACTACTACTACTACTACTACTACTACTACTACTACTACTACTACTACTACTACTACTACTACTACTACTACTACTACTACTACTACTACTACTACTACTACTACTACTACTACTACTACTACTACTACTACTACTACTACTACTACTACTACTACTACTACTACTACTACTACTACTACTACTACTACTACTACTACTACTACTACTACTATTATTATTATTATTATTATATTTGTTGTTGTTAGTATTGTAGTTGTTGTTGTTGATATGTTTGCTACTACTTACAATTTAGTTATCTACTACTACTACTACTATTATTATTATTATTAGCTAGCAACAACTAAGTACTTACACATATAAGTCATATACTACTACTATGTATATATGATACTACTACTTCTACTTTTATAATTATTATAATTATTGTTATTATAATTATTATTATCGTTATTATTATTTATTTTATAAAAACAAGTGTTAATTTTATAAAAGGATTATGATGATAAATTATTCATGCACAACTAGTCAAAGTCGATAGTCTAAGCCCTTGTGTCTATGGGTTGAAAAATATTTGATTAGGATTATTGGTTTGTTATAGGAGGAATTTCGAGCTCAAAATTAGGAGTTCCGTACTTGTGTGTAAGGATCAAGGTACGTACACGTGGCTAGATCTTTTAAAAAGTGACTTTTATATGCAACGTGATTTACATGTTAAGTGATTTCGAACCATGTTTAAATGATTGTGAAATATATTTCGGTGAAACATGTTTTAAGAGTTTGATCTCAAATGTTTAAATATTTCATATGATTGATTATAAACTTGTACTGATATTCAAGATGTTTTAAAAAGTAAGTTTTATTGTTTAAATTATCCCGAGTATGGGATATTGGAAAATTTATTTAACAAGATTTACTCCTTGGATCTTTGGATTTTTAACTCCCACTATGCGGAGTAAGTTGAAGACTATGGACTTTGTATGACCTAGTCTTTCCCCTTGATAGCACTATGTAAAGGAGTTACTAGCTTGGGGGGTGTGCACACTTAGATGGGAAAATGATTTATGAAAATATGGACTGATCCATCCTATTCGGAATTATCTTTGGAAAGTTGGTTATTTCGAAAATTGGTTCTTTTGATAGGTTTTTATACATGAATTCCTATTCAGGAATGGTTTGGATAAATTATGATTTATTAAAGTTAATTCTCTTCGAAAGCATATTTAATTAATTAAATTGATTTTACATGTCTAGCATTTGTATGTACTAAGCATTTTGGCTAATATGTATTTGTTTTGTTTTGGCTTGGCCCTACTTATCATTTTGATAAGTAGATAGGTAATGGCGATCGGACAACGTG